ATGATAAATGTTATTCCATATTAATCGTTGTACATACGTTTAATTTGATCTAACATCAACATCATTAAACTAATTCACTTCCAGCATTAATAAGAAATATTTATCAATCAATAAATGATAAAAATGATAGAAAATATTTATAGGAATATTAATGAATGTGTTGTTGTTAATTTTTGTCTTGTTGTTTTTTTTTACTATGTATTATTATTTTTTTTTTTGTTAATTTAATTTTGAAATATAAATGGGTCTAATATCGTTTATGTGCACTTGTGTTTCAATTTGAGTTATTTCATCTCGAACAACGTAAACAGGATGTTGTGCACGAATAATAATTTGTGGTGTAATTGAAAATTTTGGTTCTAATTTATTTTTCATTCCATGTCTTCTAATTAAAACACGATCATTAATTGCATAATGAGGATCAGGACGTTGTTTATCATATTGAGTTTTGTACCGATGTTGTTTACGAATAATATTTTCACGAGCATATCCATGTATCAATTTCATACTTTTCTTTAATTGCTCATAATAATCATTTGGTTGGCGAAATGTAAATGAAGATTTTTTTTCATCAGTAGGTAATCTTGGTTCTCGACCATATAATAATTGAAATGGTGAATATTGAGTTGTTGAGTGTGTTCCCGTATTGTATGCAAATACCACAGGTGACAGAAATTCATCCCAATTATTGTTCTCTTTGTCTTGAAGTTTAGCAATTTGAGGTACAAATGTTGCGTTGAACCTTTCTATCATTCCATTTGATTGAGGATGGTATGTGGTTGAATAAGTATGATTATATCCAATCAATTTCGACATTGCTTCCATTAATTGATTATGAAAGTGCGTTCCTTGATCGGATAATATGACTGCCGGTACCCCATACTTGCAAATGAATTCATTAAATAATGCTTCCGCAGTAGTTTGAGCTGAACAATCAGGTACAGCAGCAGCAACCACCCATCTTGTGAAATAATCCGTAAGACATAGTACATATTGATTACCACGTGGAGTTTGTTTAAATGGACCACAATAATCCATACCAATTAATTGAAACGGTCCTTCAGGAGGTGGAATTGGTTGTAATCGACCAGGTTTCTTCGATCTACTAATATTATATTGTTGACAAGGTAAACATGATTGTATATATTGTGTAATAGATTGCTTCATATTCGGCCACCAATATTTATTTTTAATTTTCAAATATGTTCGTTGGACTCCAAAATGACCACTAAGAGGGTCACTATGATAAACTTGTAAAAGATCATTAATCATAGATGAAGGCAAATAAATTAATTTTTTCTTCGTATTACAGTCTTCACGCATAATCATTAACTTATATAATAAACCATCTTTGAATTCATAAGTACTTTTAATTGGATTTTTCATAACTTCTGCAATTTTGTGTTGAATATCCGAATCTTTTCCTTGTTCAATTTTTAATCGTTCCATATCCAGTATATTTTTTGCAATAATTTGTGATGGATCTTCTTTCATTTGATCAGTTTCTTCTTCTATTGGTGGTAATGTTATCTTATTTCTATCTGTTGGTGTTGTTGTTGAATTTTGATCCTGTTTTAATTGTAATTGTTTCGCTTTAGATCTTGTTACGATAGCTCCAGCTAGTGGAGGAATTCCATCAGGAACACGACCCATAACAGTCGGTTCCCTTTTATCACGTTTAGCAATACCATAATCTTCATCAAATATTTCCTCTTCTCTTGGAATTGGATGACGGGATAGGTAATCAGCTAAACAATTGTGTTGACCTTTAATATGGATAATTTTTTCGATATTAAATTCTTGTAATAATATTGATATACGATCAACTCTTCGATTCTTCACTGTTGAATTCATCATGTTGCATAATGGACAATGATCAGT